CAGGGAGGGCCTGGATGAATTTTTAAAAGTTTCTGAGATCTTTTATTAGAAATAAAACCTGCTGACATCTAACATTGTGCTGTTACATTGTATTCTGCTACTTCATGTTTTTTTTTTTTTTTTGGCCTGTTTACTTTTACGTATATTATGGTTTCAGGTCTTAGCTCCAAGTCTTAATCCACTTTTGAGTTAATTTTTGTGTATGGTATAAGACATTGCTCTAGTTTCACTCTTTTGCATGTGACTGTCCATGTTTCTCACCATTATTTGTTGAAGAGACTTTCTCAACTGTATACTCTTGGCTCCTTTGTCGTAAATTAACTGTTTATATATGTTTGAGTTTATTTCTCCCACCCTCAGCCTCCCACCCCCATTATTTTGGAGGGATATCTACCAGGGGGAATTGGGACTTATATGGGAATTAGGATTTATACTCTCACCATTATCCATTATTTCTTCTCACTCTGTCTTGCTTAAGTATGTGCATAAAACTTCAGAGAAGTAAAATGTAGTCCCTCTTGAAGAACTGGTTTAAAATATTTAAAGATATTTGAATACATTTGGTTAAAAAAAATTGTCTTCCATTTAGTATGATCCAGAGCTATCATCTCGACAGTTTGGAGTTGAACTGTCCCGTCTAACCAGTGAAGACAGAACTGTTCCTTTAGTAGTGGAAAAGCTCATAAACTACATTGAAATGCATGGGCTGTACACAGAAGGTATTTACCGAAAGTCTGGCTCAACTAATAAAATCAAGGAGCTTCGACAAGGTCTGGATACAGGTAAAATACTACCCTCAGATGAAGATGACGTATTTTTATTTAAATCATTCATTTCATGCTGTTAAAGTTTCACTGCATATTTATCCTTTTCTTGAAACCAGAAAAAAGCAGTCTTTTCTGGGTTTCTTGTTTTGTGACTTTCTAAAGAATCTTTGTTTTTATGTGGTTTGATTGATTGGTTTACTTGTGATTGGTTTACTTTACATTTGGTACTTCAGACAGATGTCATTTAATGTTTGTAATGATCTTGTAAGATAATGCTATCTGTAATTTACAAACAAGACTATTTGGATTCAGGGATAGTAAATTGTTGCTGATACATGGCATTGTGCTAATGTTTTATATTAATTTTCACGTCTATCTTATGAATTAGGAATTATTACCCCTGCTTATACATGAAGAAACTGAGGTCTACACAGGATTTGCGAAACAATAAATGAAAATGCTGAAATTTAACCCCAGATGTTCTGAATCTGTGATCTAAACTATTATCTTTTCTGTTATTCAGATTGTTATTTCTGTGCATCTGTTGCTATCCTATATTAATGACATAGTCATTTAAGCTGATAAATAGGTCAAATGTGTTTCTGTATAGAACTCTACCCTCAGTCTAGAAAGTATCTAGGGTATGTCTTTGATTTCATTTTCAGTGTCTACCCTTCACCATTGCTGGGGAGGAATAGATCTTTTTGAAACAAATGTAGACCCAGTATTTATCTTGCACACATGCTTTTTAATGAACAAATTAAGTATTTTAAGATGAACAAATCAATAGGGAAACAGTAAAATTTCCCATTAAACTCAAATAGGTTGTTCTGCATACAAGAAACTCAGTTTAGCCCAATTTAAATGTAATTGTTTAGTTGTTTCTTGTACCTGGTGTTAGGCACAAGTGAAAAATTACTCATCCTATATCTCATCTGTTTAGCCTTAAGAAGTTTCTAAGTGAAACAGTATAATGTATGTAATTTTTCTTTATATTTCACAAGTTCAGTTATTACTATCCTGTCATTTCTAAAAATGACTTCAAATCAGACTTACTGGCCCTTTTTTCCATTTGTCATTTATAAATACTATTCAAAGTGTAGTTCAGAAATAATTCTATAAGTGCAGAAATTGAGAGGAAGCATTTGGAAACAGAAGCTTAGCAGTGCTTTTACATGAAAATATGTAATCTTTTGTTTTACACATCTGTCAGTCCCCAACAGATTTGGAAAACAAACAAAAACTGTTCCTTTACCATAGTTCGAGTCATTGATTCCAAACCAAGGAATTGGATTTTAAGATGTGAGTCAGTTTAAGAATATGAAGGTTTCTTTTGGTGGTGGTAGTTTCTAAAGTAAGTTATTTGAATCCCTTTACATATTTTGAACTTGCTATCTAACTTTTGTCTCTAAATAGATGCTGAAAGTGTAAACCTCGATGACTATAACATACATGTTATTGCAAGTGTATTCAAACAATGGCTTCGTGATTTGCCCAATCCTCTCATGACCTTCGAGCTTTATGAGGAATTTCTTCGAGCTATGGGTAAGCCCACGCTTCCTGGGTTCAAGGGATATCCTGTACTTGGAAAAGGACTATCATATTCTTAATAATATTATTTAACAATCTTCTTGTATTTGGTCTATCTAGATCCAAAGATAAACTTTTGACAGTCATTTCAAAATTACCTTTGTATGCTCACCTAGTCAAATAGGTGTCCTAAATTATTACTATCCTAAAAACTTCTAAATAAGTTATTTAGTTGCTTTTCACAAAGAGATTGAAAGACTAGGATTATAGACAAAAGATTAAACAGGTTATTTAAAATGATTTATGTTCATTTACATTGCGAATGTCTTTTATGCCAGGCCTAACAGGAAGTTTAGTTTCCAACACCTCATAGTTTTTAGGCCTTAACACATACTCCTCAAATTTCTGTGAGACTGATTTGTAAATTCTAGCAGCTCCTCTAATAATGTTCTTTTGTTTAATGTTATATATATCATTATGTTGAAGACAAAACATGGACTCCTTTTCTAGTCCACTGTTCACATTTGGGATTCTCCAACTACTCTTGCTTCATCCCTCTTCCCAAGTATGTGCATTTAGGTTAATTTGTCTAAAGTTCCCAGCCTGAGTATTTGTGTTTAAGTACATCCTTTGATGGAAGTGTGACCAAGGTTGACTCTTGCCTGTACCCTGAGCTACCGGGATAACCTCTGGCCACTGTACCCTGTGCTAGAATAAGTAGTTTAGAAAATGAATGAGTACAAATTATTCCTTAATTTTAAATATTTTTTGGGTTTGTCAAAGTTTGGTGATGTTTATGTGACTAGAAATATCCTAGTAACTTAAGTTTTTGTTTACATTAATGAGCCTATATTAAAAATGGTTTCATTTTACATGATTTTACTTAAAGTTGTAGTTTCTGAGAAAGAACTATTGATGACATTAAATGAGGACTTACTGTAGATGTCAGATGGTTTTATAGGAAATCAATCTGTCAGAAGAAAACTAGGGATATTTTTGCTGTAGTCAAGTATTCCTGGAATGTAGACTGAAACTCCATAAACTGCTCAGTAAATATAGGACTCAAACAAAAGATTAGATTTTCTTTGCTATTTAAAACTAGAACATTTTTTTAAAAAAGATTTATTTATTTATGCTTACAGAACTGTAATTTGTTACTGTTACTGTTTTCAGGCCTTCAGGAGAGGAAGGAAACTATACGTGGTGTATACTCTGTGATTGACCAGCTGTCCCGAACTCATCTCAATACACTGGAACGCCTTATATTTCATCTAGTCAGGTAACTTCATAAAGCATAGGAATGCTTAACTGTTCTCTTGGATTATTTTAAATAAGTGGAAAACTCCTCTACTTGGAAAATTGACCGTTTTTCCTATTTTTAAAAAGTCAGTGCCTAAAGCAGGTGGTTATCATTCCTTGGAACAGAATTTTTCAGCTGACTTGGCTGCATAGCAGATGCTTCTCTGCTTAATTTGAGCCATGTAACAACTTCAGCCTCATGGTGGCACTGTGTAGCCTAACCTGTAGTCTAACTGCTGAACTAGAAAGGATGTGTATCTGTTAACATATTTCCTAGGAAATGTGTTCAGATTGTGTTCAGGAATTGACTCACCAAAAGATTTTAGGAATAGTCTTTTCTCCTAAGTGTAAATATCAACAGTAAGAAAGCCACTTTTAGTTTTGGATAAATATCTTACATGATGATTTCACAGTGCCTTAAAATCTCTACATTGCTTTCTTCAGACATGCTTGTCTAGTAATAATGAGCTTGAGTAGAGAGTTACAATTTCCTTTGATAATCTTTCTCTGGACTGCATTACTTCAGGAAGGAAGAGAATGAAAGTACATTTTTCCAGAGGCAAAAGAAGCTTTGGGGAAAGTCTTCAGTGTTTTCCTATAACTGATATGTATTCTGACATTCTGTAGTTGATGTCATATGTCCTCTTCCATCTCTTCTGCCTTACCTCACTACTGTTCTCCCTTTTTATTTTCCTTTTTTGTTTTGTTTGTTCTTAGGATTGCTCTACAGGAAGACACTAATCGAATGTCTGCTAATGCTTTGGCCATTGTGTTTGCCCCCTGCATTCTCCGCTGCCCTGATACCACTGACCCACTACAAAGCGTGCAGGACATCAGTAAGACTACCACGTAAGACCAGTCGCCATCACCTCTGGAAGACCCTAGGGACTTCCGAGTCAGTGTATTTACTTCATCTAAATACAAAACACAGCAGTGATTTATTAGTTCTAGATACCATTAGGTTTCCTTATACTAAAGAAGAAATTTTTCTTTAGATTTTATTCAGCAGAATGTCATTAGTTTTGAAAGATACTATGTTTTAAATTTGGTTTTCTTTAGGAATCCTTGTAGTTTCTACATATATTAAAATTTCATTTTGCCAAGTTACATATACTTTGTATCTTCCTGTAATCTAGTCTGACTTTGATCTTATAATTCTGAATCCCTTTGGTTGTATTTCTTCAGTAGTACCGTATTTCACCTTGGCCTTTTTCTCTAGACCTCTGCTTTCCTTCTAGAGTAGTTAATCATGACTGCAAAAGGACCTTTAAAGAAATACTAGTGTATATTCCATCCGCAGATAGTCTGATTTAATCAGTATTGGGTATGGCCTGAATGGTGAGAATCAAATAGTTACTAAAATTAGTATAGCCAAAATTGTGAACCACCATCTTAAACCCTGTCTTTAAGCTCAAAATAAAGAATGTTGATTTTTTTCCCCCATCCACCCACCATCTATAACTTTTAACCGAAAATGGTCTCCAAGTGCTACATTTTAATTTACTTCTGTTTTAACAGTTCTCTTTCTTCTCTCCTACCTAGCTGTGTGGAGCTGATTGTTGTGGAACAAATGAATAAATACAAGTCTCGTCTGAAAGACATCAGTAGCCTAGAATTTGCTGAGAGTAAGGCAAAGACGAGGCTGTCACTGATTCGTAGATCAATGGTAAGATGAAACATGTGGAACCACTGGGAAAACCAGGAGTGTTCCTGAGATTTTAAGTGTACATGAATGATGTAGAGAGAGAGATTATTCTCCAAATATGTTTCACATGGAACAAATGAAAAAAAGTCACTAAATCTAAGGATGCTATGCGTGCATTGTGTTTAATGTTTTTTTTTTTAAGTATAGAATATTGGTTGTGTAATAATCTGCCTTATTTTCTTTTCCTATCCTTTCAACAAAAACTTAACTTATCTATACTTTTTTTTCTATTTCCTTTCACAATTTTGTCCACTTTCAGCTCTGTCTCTCTTGGGGGTTCTACTAAGATTCCTGGGCTATAGAGAATTTGGTCGTATTAAGAATATGATTCATAAAGAAATGGAATTCTACTATTATCAAAAAGTCCTTTAAGGTTTTAATGTTGAGTTTTGAGAAAAGACTTGCAAAAGTGATTATTTATTTCCTCCATTTGCCACTTTTCTGTCTATCTTCCTTCGTAGCCAGTAACCTATATTATAGATAACTTCAGTACTGACCTGTAGGGTCTGGGTAACTGGAAAACTGCTGCATTAGTTTCATTATTGCCAATTTTCTATCCTTCACCTTGATTATAAAACAAAAGTATACTGATAAACACCCACTCAGAGTCCCAGTAATGTCTAAATAGAAGCAAGCTGCCACATCATCTTGCCCATACTTTTCCAGCATACCGACATTACTTCCTCATATCTTTGTAGTTTACACTTAAACTAGCATTAAAGTAACTATTTCTTCCTTTAATATTTAAACTGTCTGGCATAGAACAAATGCTCAGTAAATGTCCAAAGTGGGTAGACAGATGAGTGCTATTGAGTCTTCTCTAAAATCTAAAAATAAATTTATTTCAGACAGTAAAGATAATAGCTAAAATTCATCAGAGAGCACTATTTAAATCTTATCCTTAGAAAATGAAAAGAGACTCCTTTAAAGGTGAAGCCCTTTGTGTAATATGACTTTTTAGGAGCTCAGTTCTGAGATGCCCAAGTTAGCAGGGAAGCTAAATTTTATTATAAAGCTACTTTTTTAAAGTGGGTAGACAAACTGTTTCTTTCTTTCTTTCTTTTTTTTTTTTTTTTTTTGCGCTGATACGGAAGAAGATGGATATATTCAACCCATTAAAAGATTAAGCCTCTTTTAGGGAGGCAATGACATGTACATTCTAACCTTCTGCTTTCCTTTTCATGTCCTTCCTAATCCAGAAACCTGTACTAATTGCAGTTAGATTTATGAGCATTACCCGCAATTCAGTCTCGGTATGTATTAATACTGAAATGTGTCACAGCCACTTTACATTATTGTCTCATCCATCCAGGAGTTGTTCTACTCTGTCTATCATTCATGCCTGTCTATCCTCCATGTGCAGCCCTAATTCAGGTCCCACTTTCTGACCAACCATCTCTTGATTTTTCTTACTCTTTCTTTAGAACCTTTCTTTTTCTTTTTCATAGTTGAACATTGTCCAACATTATAGTTTTTCCTCTCTATCAGATAGCCTCTTCGTAGATATCTTCTTTATTTGGATTGTTAAAGGTGAACATTGTAAACAAACTAACTCCTGCTCTGTGACATTTGTTCTCATCAGTCTCTTCTACTTTATCACTTAAATATCTGGTGTCTCTTTCAACAGTGCTTTTATATCCATTCATAGCTATGATTTTGATGTTACCTTCCCAGACATAGAAGCATGGCTCTTTGATGTTTAGCGTTTTTTTTTAACATCAAGTAGTAGGGAATCACACTGTTTCTAGACTTAAATATCATAGAATGGTGAGACTAGACTTCATTAGTCTTAAATTTTATTATAGAATAGTGAAGCTCATACTAGGATTTCATTAATCATACAAAAAAGGAATGGAAAATTGGCAAACTAAGCACACCAGTATATATGAAAACTAATTTCAGAGGCTGTCCATCTATGTGTAACCCAATTTGTGGATAATCTCATTTTGTTGGGATATAAACACAAATTAGTTTTGCTTTTATCTAGTAATTGCCTCTATCATGTCAACCCCGCCTCCCACTTTCACACAGGAGACCAACAACCTTCAGAGCATCTCATCACTATTACAAGTTTCAAAAATTTTGGTCCCATTCCAGTATTTAATACTTAGTTCTTTTAATAATTATGATATCCAGTATTCTTATCATTTTCTTTCAGGGCATTAATCTGGGATTGAAAATTGATAACAGAGGTTCCCTTTGTTTAACATGTCTGCCCTCTTTCTCTCTACGGTGTTGAAACTGGGAGGAGTGAATGGAAAGCAAAATTCTTCCTGATACCCAAATGTTGAATGGCAGTCCACTTTCTTGGTCATTTAATACTACTATTGAAGCTCATTGTTAGTAAGCTAACTGAAAATGAGTGGTAATTTTTATTTACCATGCTGATAGTGAGCTCAATCCTATGCCATTTCCATGGACACTGGTAGTTACCTTGAAAGATTTGGTTGTATATTCTGGCTAAAACCTGAATGATGGCATTCACACCTTGTGACTCTGATAGATCTTTTTGTGTTAAGACAATACCCAGTCAAGTTTATCTCTCAGTGCCAATTCTACTGCCCATAAGTACAGTGGGGCAAAAGTTACATTTTTTCTTAGCTTTCGGCACTCAATAACTTAAGGTAGGCAGTGGCCTTGCCTAGTTTTCTATCTGGCACTTTTCCATCACATTCTCTCCTCTTTTCATTTTTCCTGTGTCCATATCATAAAAGGTTAAATCAGTAAGTCTTTTTCCTACACTGACAACCAAAGAGGTAATGATTAAAAGTCTGTCTCTCTTTTAGGTGATCTCAAACTTTTATTTCTTGTCCTTTGGTTTCAGATATAGCAAGTACATTTTTTTCCCCTAAAAGAAGAGAAGATATTCTCTTTTTTGTGAGCTCTTACGATTTCCTCCAAAGTCTACTAGCTCCATCCTTTTTCCCCCTCATCTCTTAAAAATTTACATTTGGGGAAGGTGTTATAATTTTTGTGATGGAACTAGTTTTATAAACAGGTGTCTCAACCATAACCCTCAAAATGCCTGAAACCAATCACTGTTCACTCCTGGAGCTAGAAGCAAGGTATTTAATTATCCTCTAGTCTGGGTCTTAACCACACTTCTGGAACAAGAGGAAAAAGTTCCACTTGAGCTCCTATTACATATGCATTTAACTTTAGAAAAGACTTGCATCCCATTCTTAAGAACAAGACTATGTTTAGGTCACATTTTAATGTTCAGTAGGCATCGTGGAATTGTATTTAAGAATTGAATCTAGGAGAGTGTTCACTGAATTTTTAGGATAGATATACACTATAAACAGATACTAATCAATAGTAATTTTCATGTATGCATATATGAAAAATTGCTGTTTCATAAACAAATGCAATAGTCACTGTTCTGAAATTATGAATAATGAAATGAGTTTATGAAAAGTGGGCCTCCCTAGTGGTACAGGGGGTTGGGGCACAGCACTATGAAGCTGTCCACAGCCACTACAGCATGAGTTCAATCCCTGGTCAGGGAGTGACCCACAAGGTGCAGCAGACCTCTCTTATCTCACTCACTGCTCCCTTCAGCAGTGTATTTTAGTCACTTGTTCTGCTCCCTGCTCTTTCTCTGATGAATCTTCTAACTACCCCCCCCCAAATTTCTGGCCTGTACCCCAATTCTTTTTTAAAATGTATGTTATACTGTTGCTGATATGAATTGAATGTTGAAAGATGAATACTAGTTTAATAAAAGGGGAAAAGACAATTCTACACCCAAGGAAACATGAAGTGGCTATTAATGATCATCTAGCTAGAGATGGAGCAAGATACGTGGAAGTAGAAAACAATTTGAAAAGGTAAATTGGTGTCAGATGTATAACCTCAAGAATTAGGAATCAAAATAAACAAGGTGGTAAAAGACATATCAGCAAGAACTACAAGATATTACTAAAAGTCTTAGATAGTGGCATAAGAAGATGGAACCATAGCCTATGTTCATGGGTAGGGAGATCAGTATACCCAAAATAATTATTCTGTCTAAAATCATGTAAATTCAAGGAAACTGAACATAAAATATTGAAGTTTATACAGAACCACAAAATTCCTTGATTTAAAAAAGGGGCAGAGAAAGATAGAAGTATCACATTCCTGACTTTAAACTTTACTATAAAGCAGAAGTTTATTTTACTATAAAAACAATATGATGTTGGCACAAAAGTAGATGCATGGATCAATGGAATGGAATCAGAAGCCCAGAAATAAAACCATGTACATACCACTACCTAATCTGTGATAAAGCTGTTATGACCATACAGTGGAGATAGGACAGTCTCTTTATAAAAGATGCTAGAAAAATTGGAAAACCAAACACACAAAAAAATGAAGTTACTTGCTAAGCCCATACACAAATATCAAGTTCAGGTGGATTAAAGATTTAGCCATAGATCTGCATAAAATACAGAGAAGAAAACATTGGAGATAGGTTTCATAATATCAACAATAAAGATATTTTTGGTTACTCAACATCAGTGGCAAAGGAATTTAAAAAATTAACAGTTGGAATTACTTATTCTTTCTTTTCAGAAATAATCAAAATTCTTCTTATAGATTTTATTTAATTTTAACACTGTGCTTACTTCCTGATCATTTATGTAGTAATCTCTTTAAGCAGTAAGAGAAAATGGGTATGTTGGGACCAACTGAGGTTTACCTCAAAGATATCTTCAATTAGATCCTCCACATAAAGGCATTTGTTTCCCAGTATAACAGGGATGCCTTTGATAGACTAGTTTCACATAATTCTAACCCAAATCAAATACTTACAGATCTTTATTTCAAAATACCATTCTTAGAAAAAGTAGATAATTTGACATAATGCATAGATTTTTGTCAAAGGATGGAAAACCTGTATGATTTGATACTGAATTTATGAGTACAGAATATTCTAAAAGGAAGCAAGGATGGAGAAGTGGATTATACAACACTGT